CAGTCTTGCCGCTGGTGTAGTTGCCGCAAGACTTGCAGAGGCTGCAGTAGAAGGGCGGCGTTGAACCATTCGAAGGTCCTGATGATGAGGGAGCGCCACGAAGTTCTGCTGTCTTCGGGGTTGCCATCTGGTCGAGTTCGGCGTAGTATGGTTCGCGGGTCACGTCGTAGTCAAACTCGTGCGACGGGGCGATGGCGTGGAGAGCTGAGCGCGTTTTGTCCCGCTGGTGGGCATCCTCGTCGTCGGCTTGGGCTTGCATCTTCTGCTTCTCGTTTTCCGCGATGGATGCGCTGGCAACGCTGTCGAGCATGTCTGTGTCGATCCTGGGCGCGATGCTGTCGAGCTGCTCCCACGGGGTCTTCCCAAGAAGTGCTTGGTGTACTTGATGCTCTTCCTGTTGTCGGGCCAGCTGTTCACGGTGATGCTTTTTCTGTGATTGTCTCTGTGCCAGTGCGGCTTGTAGCTCGGTGTTGGCGAACTGCTGCTGCTGGTGGATCTCCGCCTCGCGCTGGCCGTGTCTCTCCAGGAACTGCTCACGTTGGTGCTGGTCGTACTCGGTCTTGTGCTGCAGCTGCAACTGGAGAGCCGGGGCCTCGTTGAGTAAGAGCTGGTGGTGTAGGGTGGCCCGTTGGTGCTCTACTTCCTTGGCTTCGAGCTGGTCGCACTTGTTCTGGATGTGGCGCTGCGCCTCGAGCTGGAGCTCCGCCTGCTGGCAAACCACCTCTCGCTCCCTCTGGGCCGCGGAGTGCTCCTCCAAGAGCTTCGTGGCGGCGATGGCCCTCTTCTGCTGAATCACATGCTCTTGGTGGATCTCCTCTCGCTATAGGTCTGCTCGGGCTTCCGCGATCTGCTCGGCGATGCCGCTTTTTCTTTGCATCTCCTGGGCCGCCATGACTTGCGCGGCCTGCTCCTCGAGGCGGAGGTCCTGGTTCATCTGCTCTATCCTCTGGCCCTCGCGCTGCAGGCGTTCGCGCTCACGTTGAAGTTGTTCGCTCTGTGCTTGCTGGCGTGCTGCTTCCTCAGAGGTTGATGCGATGCAGGTCTGGGGGCCGTTTCCGCTCGGATGGCATCGAGCATGTGGTGGGCCTCCTGGCGCTTCTGCTCGTAAGTGAGCTTCTGGCGCTCGAGGTCGTATCTCATCGTGCGCTCGTGGTTATCCATCCTCTGCGACTCCTGCTGCATCTTCTCGGCGTAGATCTGATGGGCGAGCTCTGCTTGCTGCTGGAAGCCCCGCGCTCTTGCTGTGCCTCTTGGCGGCGGAGTGCATCGTTGTTCCTTGCTATGGCTTGCTCCGTGGCGTCCATGGACGTCTTGGAGAGCGCCTGCTCGTGGTGCACAAGCCTGTCTCGGCTTTGCATCCTCATCTCCACACAGCACTGGCGCATGGCCTCAACCTCCTCCTCGTATTCTTCTGCCGTCTTGCGGAGCTCGGCATTGGCAGTTTTGGCGTGGTTCCTTCCTTCTCGGCGCGCTTCCTCATCCTTCTTCCTGAGCTGCTCCGCGATGCTGCTTGATGGTGAGGCCGGCCTGCTCGAGCACGAGGATGGAGGCTCTCGACTGGCGCGACGGCGAAATGGGGCGTTGGCCCTTTTATTGTTGTTTTGCTTTTTGTCGTCCTCGGAGTCAGCTTCGCAATCAGTGTCGGCTTCGGCAGCAAGTTCGAGCTTGACGTTCGTGATGAGGCGCTTCAAGTCGGCGATGCGATGCCTGTTGGCATCTGCCTTGGTCTGCAGAGCCTCCTTCTTCTCGTGGATGTCTTTCTGCTCTTTTGCCAGTACCTCGATCTGTGACCGATACTGTTGAAGCCGAACGTGTGGATCCGTGGCCATCGCGAGCATACGCTTGATCACCGAGGCCTCCGTGAGCAGCTTGCTAGCGTCGTCCTTGGCGGACTGCGCACCGTTGACCTGATCGGCAACTCGGCCGAGCCTCTGCTGGAGGCTCCTCGTCCGCAGTTTCCTCATGTCTGTGTTCTCTGGCGGAAGGCCGAAGGACTCATGGTCGCGAGAAATAGAAAATGGAAGTTCGAGCACGGCGTCGGCGATGGCCTGCTGCTTTTTGCTGAGGATGTAGTCCTGGATGTGGACGGCTGCTTTCTTTTTGAAGCGGGTCTGCTCCACGGACACTTTCTTTGATAAGTGGAGCTCCTCCAAGGCCATGGCTGCTCACCCACTGCGGGCCCAGGGGTTGTGGTCCCTGCTCCTGACCACCTTTCGCTTGGGCCCTGCGCAGGCGCCTGGGCTGAAAACCCTGCTCCTGTCGACCTTTTCCCAGCGCCGCGCTGCGACGCCTCGAGATGTGTGGTCCTTGCTCCTGACCACCTTTCCCTCGAGGCGCCGCGCTGCTGCTTCCAGTTCTGCGTCATGGCGTTTTGCTGGTGGCGCTGGGGCTGCTGCGAGCTGTGGTGCAGCTCGAGCCTGCTGGCTGCCGCGGCCAGCCTGATGAGCAGCCTGTGTTGTCCTCTTTGGGTCCTGGCGCGGCGGTGCCAGGCCTCCTTCTTGGTCCTGGGCGTGACGGTCAGGTGACCGCCGCGGCTGCGGCGCCTCTTTGCTTCTCTTTGATGGCTCCGCGGCGCGCGAGCCACGACCGAAGGGGCGACCGACGAGGGCGAATCCGCGACGGTCCCGGCCCCTCTTCGGCCGAATGGCTTTCCTCCTCCTCCTCCTCCTCCTCCTCCTCCTCCTCCTCTCCTCCTCCTCCTCCTCCTCCACCTCCTCCTCCTCCTCCTCCTCCTCCTGCAGAGGCCCCCTCCTCCTCCTCCTCCTCCTCCTCCTCCTCCTCCTCCTCCTCCTCCTCCTCCTCCTCCTCCTCCTCCTGCAGAGGCCCCCTGGGCCACCTCCCCCGCTGGCGGGGCGGATCCGGCCGCGGCGCCGGGAGGCCCGCAGGAGACCCGGGTCCTGCACGGGCGGGCAGCGCAGTGCCGCAGGCACGTCGGGGGTGGGCAGACCTCCTGCCTCTCTTGTGGGGGCCTCAAGAATATACATCACCACCACGTCGATTCCTCTCTCCTTTACCCTCCTCGTCCTTCCTCTTTCCTGGGTGGAGGGAGGGAGTGAGGGAGGTGGTGGAGGGTGGTGGTATATTTTTGGGCCCCCCATCTTGGGGAGGAGGAGGAGGAGGAGGAGGAGGAGGAGGAGGAGGAGGAGGAGGAGGAGGAGGAGGAGGAGGAGGAGGAGGAGGGGCTCTGTTTTGGGTTCTTTCTTGGGCCATCTTGGGCGCCCCGTGGGTCGTGCCGGGCCCTCCTCGGCCGCCCGGGTCCCTCCTGGGGGCTTCTCGAGCCGCCTCGGGGCGGTGTTGGGTGCCTCTTGAGCCTCGGAAGTCGACAGACCTCCTACCCTGACACGTCGATTCGCGAATTGGCCGTTTTCGGTTCGCGAGAGGGCGTCGCGGCCGTCATTGTTGCGGGTCCAGGTCCGTCGGTTTCGGTGGTAGGCCCTTTTCCCGACAGGGTGGTTTACTGAAGGGGGGGTTGTCCACCGCCGAGACACGGCCTCGCGATGGCTGGGCTTTCCTCGGCCGCGGCCACGCGCCTGCGGGGCGGCCGTGCGCGAAAAGGCTTCGCGCGGAATGTCTCCATGCGATCGCGCGCTTCTGGGATCGCGCCTCGGACCCAGAGATCCGACGCTCCAAAAAAGTTACATAAGTTGGAACTGTCTGATTTGGGCTGTTTTCGGCCTCCAGGGGCCCTCGCCGGGCCATGGGACCGTCAAACATCCAACCAACCCTTTAGGGCGTATGTGGTCTACGAAGTTTCCTCTTCCAACCCCCTTCTTCCCCTTCGAGGAAGGGTTTACCCTCCCCCTTCCCCCTCCCCTGGACATGGACGGGGGGTTCCGCGGGTAGTTGGAGCGTCCAAAACGGCCTCGGCGAGGAAGCCAAAATCATTGGTTTTACTAAGGTTTAAGCCCCATTTTGGCCTCCTGGAGGGGGGACCCTAATTAAGGACCCTCCTTTGATCGATCTCCTCCGATATGGCCCCAAGAGCGCTCCAAAGGCTCCCCAGGGTGCCCCAGGAGGGCCCCAAGAGGTGGCCAGGAGGCCCCAAGAGGCCCCCAAGAGGTCTCCAGGATGCCCCCAAGAGGCCCCCAAGAGACCCCCAAGAGGCCCCCAGAGGCCCCCCAGAGGCACCCAAGACGCTTTAAGAGGCCTCGGCGAGAATGCCGAAATCATTGGTTTTCCAAAGTTTTGGCAACATTTTGACCTCCTGGGGGGGGCACTGGTTAAGATGACTCCAAGAGCGCCTGGGAGTCCAAGATGACCTCCATGATGGCTCAAGATATCCCAAGAGGCCTCAAGATGGCTCGCACGATGCTCCAAGAGGCTTTAAGACCGCTCCAGGACGGCTCCAAGTGGCCAAAGAGCTCCTCCAGGATGCCCCGAAGGGGCCACAATCCTTCCAAACATTCGGAAACTCAATGTGTTTGGCTTTCTCGCCTTTTCGCTTTCGATGGCCATCCGAGGCCTCAAGATGGCTCCAAGATGGCCTAAGAGGGCGCCAAGAGAGGCTCAAGAGAGCGCCAAGACGGCCCCAAGAGCACCCAAGAGCGGTCCAAGAGAGCCCCAAGACCGCCCCAAGAGGCGACTTTTTGGGCCTCCGAGGGGCAACGCTAATTCATGCTCCCATCTTGTTTGATCGATGCTCTCCAAGGTGGCCCCAAAGAGCGCCTCCCAGGCTCCCAAAAGCGCTTCACAGAGGGCCCCAATAGGCGCCCAGGAGGCCCCAGGAGGCCCCAACAGGCGCCCAAGAGGCCTCCAAGAGGCTCCCACGAGAGCCCCAAGAGGCCCCAAGAAGCTCTCTGAGGCACCCAAGGCGCTTTAAGAGGCGCCCGGGACCGCCAAGAGGCCCCAAAGACGCCCCAAAAGGCCTCCACTGGGTGACCCTTCCTCTGCGTGCTGCCCACATCCCTGATGGAGGCAATTCCTCTGGGCATCGTTTCTGGATGGGCTGGTGGGGTCACGCGAAGCGTCCAGAATTATTCAGGAGGCAAAACTGACCCTAGGGAAGTGGTCCAGACGTCTGGGGCCCACGCGTTGAAAAAAGTGGTGCAACCGGATGTCTGGGAAGTCTGGAACACGAAGGCACGGATAAGGATACGGCGCGCCGTCCAAGAAGCCATGTGAAGCCGAAGGGCACTGCAGTCCAAGAGCCCGAAACGCAACACGGTGCAGCAGTGTGCCTGCTTTCTGAGCAGGACGCCAGGGTGCTGTTCTTCGGGAGCGCTCTCCTGACTGTCGACTCTGGCCGTCTGCGGATAGGGATATGTTCGTCGGTCGTGGAGAGCGGGCGAGAGGCGCTACGGAGGACCGCCGCTGTCTCGATTGGCCCCCCTCCGACCTTCACTCTGCTTGTGGGCGCGCCGCCGTTTCACACCGAGACGGCCCGGGCCTACCTGGCGGGCGCGTGGGGCTCCGAGTGGAAGCGGGCCGCGGACATGGCGGGCGCTTCCACGGTGGTGCGGAGCCTGATGGAGGAGAGCTGCTGAGGCCCGTTGAAGAGCATACCAGGTCAGGCCAAATCCCAGAGGAGGAAAAGGTACCCATGCCGCTACCCTTCCCTCGTCTTCCCCTTTGTGGGCCTCCTGGGGAGCGCTCGTCGCCACCGCCAGATCCGCCTCGAAGTCGTGGTCAGAGCGGGCCCCGGAAAAGGTCCGGGGCGTAACGATATCGGTACTTGCTGGTGTCACCAGAAGCAGTGCCATGACGGAGGAGGAGGAGGAGGAGGAGGAGGAGGAGGAGGAGGAGGAGGAGGAGGAGGAGGAGGAGGAGAGGCGGAGGCGGAGGCGAGGGAGGAGGGGAGGAGGAGGAGGAGGAGGAGGAGGAGGAGGAGGAGGAGAGGAGGAGGAGGAGGGAGGAGGAGGAGGGGGAGGAGGAGGAGGACGAGGAGGAGGAGGAGGAGGAGGAGGAAAAAGGGGAAGAGGACTGTGGACAGTCAGCATGAATCAGCCTTTTCGCGAACAGCAGCCTTCCAGGAGAGCAGCCGTTGCTTACGTATGCCCAGAGCGGCTGAGCCTTGATCGCATGCGTAGACCCTCGGGAGGTCCGCGCGGGTTTGGTGGATCAGCGCTGCTCCTCCTCCCCCCCTGCTCCTCGTGGTCCTCCTCTTCGTCTTCCTCTTCCTCGTCCTCCTCCTCCTCCTCCTCCTCCTCCTCCTCCCGAGGCGGCGTTGGAGCTCGGACACTTGGAGCCCCGACGGGGGGGAGGATTTTCACAGAAAGTCACTCACACGACTTCCGCCCACACTTTTACGGGCCAAAGAGGGAGCAGGGGGGAATGAAGGACGGATGGCGGTATCATGGATCCCGACTTGCGCATTGATGCAGCTGGTATTTTGCAACCAGCTGGCAGCGAATACTACGGACCTCCTGGAAGAAATTTGCAGGGCACTACGGGAATTGAATGTGATTGTGCTGAGTCGGACGCATCTGTGGGCAGGGCCAGAAACGATGAACCAAAACACAACCATATGTACCACGTGGCACTGCAATTTGTGGCCATACGAGGCGACATGGATTTTTAAAACATGCGGAACGAGTTTCATGGTGTCAGCGACATGATGACGGACAGAGCGCTACACGCGCAGTGCACCCCACCTGCTAAACTGCAAGGGAGAACAGCGGGAGTGCGCTTGCGTACAACAGTTTCCAATGCCACTTTAATTGCGACGTATTTGCCACTTGAGAGGGGGTACGCTAATCACGGGACCCGTTCCAAGAAGGTTCAACTTTGTGGAAAAGCGGTGTGATGAGACGCGTGGCAGATCTACAACCATCGTGCGGGGAAATATCAACAATCAATTGGGAATGCGCAGGACGGGTAACAACGATGCGGTGGTCAGCAGGCTTTCTTCGGGCAAACATGCAACCGCATTGGGACCTGTCGCAAAGGGCGTGCAACATGACAGCGGTGCAGCATTCAGGAATTTTGGTGTGGGTGGCCTATTGTCAGTGGTCACGACCATGCACGAGCGCGGGCAGACTTACTACAGTGTCAATGACGACAAGGCACACGCGAACAAAACCGACCACGTGGCGATGCCGACTGGGGCCGTGCCGCACGCGCGACGGCGCGCAGCCCACAGCCTTGCGAGGAGTTGCCATACAGCTTCAACTGATCAAGGCGACGGGCCACCGAGACCACATTCCTCAGGGCATGGAAATGGGGATAAAACATCACATTCACGTGCTGGCCCAGGCAGCAACGGGCGGGCAAAGAGGTGGACCGCAACATGCTGATGGAGTGCTTGAGCAAAGGGCGTGTGCGAGCCGAGTTTCTGGGAGCATTTGACCGGCATGTAAGGGCTGCGGCCGACCCGCAGCCAGGATGAGCATTAGCGAGGGCATCGGAGTGCGATCCAGGCGGACGGCGCGGCGCCCCCCCCCCAGCCGCGACGGGCGAGCTCGGACAGGCCGCCTTTGGCGAGGGAATCTCGGAGTGTGGGCCCTGGCGAGCGTGCCGTGGCGGCCGACCAGCAGCCGGGAGGCGCATTGGCGAGGGCATCTCGGAGCGCGCCCCAAGCGGGCGGCGCGGCGCCGCCCCCCCGGCCGCAACGGGCGAGCTCGGAGGGGCCGCCACTAACGAGGAAATCTCGGAGTGCGTACCCTGATGGGCGAGCCGTGGGAGTGGAATGGGGAAGCGATGGGGTGAGACTGGCAGAAGAGCGATGCCGGAGATCTTTCCAGTCAAGGAGGAAAAGAAGGACCCTGGAGTGGGGGCCATTTAGAAACTGCGCTGGTCCATGTTGGCCGAACGGATGCAACTGCGAGTGGGCATGGTGGATTCAGGGGCGGAAGAGAGGCTGGGGGACATCCAGGAGGAGGAGCTAGCATCGCGAAGGTCGACAATATGCTTCGGAGGCATAGGAACTACCTGGAGGATGCCAAAGGCATCGGAGGCACAAGCTTGGACCCATCGACTCCCCCCCCCCTCCCCCCCTCAACTTGTGGGTGGTGCGCCGTGATGACTGTGCTTCGGAGGCGCGGGGGCGACCCGCGGGCGGCTCGCCCGGCCGGGGAGATTTGGCAAGCGCGCGAGAACGACCGCAGCGGGATGCACAGACTGCGCATCTAGTGCCAGCGGAATGGGGGGGGGGGGGGGCATTTTTCCGGCGCGCATTTGGTGGGGCGCAGAGGAGTGGCTGAGGGAACTGGGGACGCATCCTCGCGATGGGCCCCTGGCTGGGGCACCGCTGCACTTAGACGAGAGAAGGTGCCGCCCCCGCTCGATGCAGATGTGGGGGCGCTGATTGGAAGGGAGAAGCTGGACTTGCTGATGTATGGCAAGAAAGCTGCAGAAAGTAGGGCGTTCCCCCCGAGCGGCGCCCAATTGGAACTCACGCGGGTGATTGTGGATCCCGCGGTCAACTGGGGGTTTCCGGAGCTGCTGGGCAGGAAGCTTGAAGAGCAGGGAATTCGAACAGCGGAGCGACGCGAGGGCGACGATGACGTGGCCAGGTGCAGGTCCCTCCACACGTTGACAGTAGGCAGGGCGATGCTGCGGCGGATGGGGTGGAGGGCAGGCCATGCGTTGGGGCGGACAGAGCGAGTTGGCGATGGAAAAGCGCTGCGAGCGAGTGAAAGGCAAGCGCGCCGCCTCGGGAGGAATGAGCAGGCTGGGCCAGGGTCGCCAGCGACGAATGCTGACGCATGTCTGGAGTGCAGGAGCAAGCTGGAGGACATCCTCATCAAGCGCCGCCAGTCACGAGCCGCGCCATTGGACTGGCACAGGCCGGTGTGGTTTTCTGCGGAGAAAGGCAGCGAGAAGCAAGGCATTGGGGGCAAAAGAGTGCTGCGTTCGCATTGCTCGATGGGATGGGCCTTTTCAGGGGATATGCATTGCAGGGGGCATGCGCCGCGCAAGCCTTGCTGGGCACAAGGTGGTCTTCGGGATAGGAGGTCAAGGGTCAGCGCGATAGCGTGTGTCGAGGCTGCGCAATGGAGAGCGTGGCAGGCAGGGATCGGCACCGCTGCCAGCAACTACGACTGCACCGGCGCCTTCGCGATCACGAAGCGCAATCCCTTGCCGGCCTCGGCCCTTGCTGCGTCGAAGGAGGATGGCGAGCCATTTGCAATTGAGGCGATCAATTACGCGGCGCTGAGCATAGAACGCGCAGATGACTAGGTCCGCGCGCTGACCGCCCAGGGCGCGCAGATGGGAATTGCTCTGCGCCAGCGGCAGTTTAATGATACTTAGAATATTTACGTGAGACAAAAGCACAGCGAAGAGCGGGGGGAGGGCGAGACGCAAACGGTGAGCGACGCAACGAGCCCGATTACGGAGCGGGTGCGTGAACTCTCGCTCAACGCCCCATGGGCGACATCACCGAGATCCACACGGTGGCCCCGCCCTCCCCGACGCAGGGGCGGACTGGCGCTTAGCGCGGGCATCTCGGAGCGCCAGCCAGCTCTCGGCGAGCGCGAGGGCAATTCAGCTCGCCGGTGCGCGCTGCAAGTGGGAGGAGGGTGGGCGGGGGGGGGGGGGCGGGGGGGGGGGGGCGGGGGGGCAGTCGCAGGCGCGCAGGATAGCGCAGCAGGCCAGCGCCGCCACCGAGCTCCTTGAGCGCAAGTTGGCCATTGGAGGGTGGGATCTCAACCCACGCGAGACCAACCACCTGGTTTACCTGCGGCGCCCAGGGCGAGACGGGGTTGCGCTCCAGCTCCAACGGGGAGGGCTGCTCACAGGCGCGCCGATGAGGGAGATGCGCGCGCTGGGGCCCCACTTGCCTGGCGATGCAGGCCGCGCAGGGCGAATCCGACGAAGGTGCGAGGCCATGCAAGTAGCCCGCAGACAATGCAGGCGATTAAGAAAGACAGGTTCCAGGCCTTTGATTCGGGCACGGGCCTGAGTGGGCTGTTGGCATCTGTGCTCGAGGACCGCCGCGGCGACGCGCTGGGTCGCGCCGTGGCAATGCTGCTGAGACGGATGGCAGGAAGCAGGGCGAGCTGGACCCGAGAGGATAGATCGACCGGGTGGTACTCCAGCGATGATGTATCTAAATGGTGGAGGATGTCGCGCTGCGCTACCTCATTGCGAATCCGCGGGCTACGATGGCACTCGCCTTGGGCACGGCGCCCAGAGGACTTTGGCAGTGTTCTTGCGGCGGTACTTGGAGCGTCGAAGCTGGGTCGCATTTAAGGATTCGAGCGATTTGATCATGGGCGGGCGCGCGCGGCGCCAGCGCCTTGGGCCCGCCAAGTTGTCAAATATTTCCAGGCGCTCGCGGAGATCAGCGAGGGCGCGGCGAACTGGTGCCCGCAGAGGCACTCCGATATCTCCGCGTCCCACGCTGGCGCGCAAGAATAGGAAGCTTGGATTGGCGCGGGCCCAAGTATACTTCGCAACGCTGGACAGATTTGGGGCGCTACCCGACCGGAGTTCCCCGAAGGGGGCGATCTCCTCGCGCCTTTTTGGCGCGACTGGAAGCAGGGTGGCGTGGCGCAGTCGCCGCGAGAAAGAATTGCGGTTGACCATGTCGGGGG